GTAACTGCCCCCTGAACCTAATAATGGGTTGTGCCACCCTTGGCATCATTGATGTGTCACTGCTTTTGCACATGTCTTGGGCAGGATTCAGTGTGATTGACTGTGTTGGCTACAACTAGAGTTTGTCAATGTCAAATAGGAAAAAAATGTGACAATGGTTCCATTCAAGTTTACTGTTTCTTGGCAAATAGTAAAGTCGTTGTTTGCTTTTTAATAGTTCCGACAGGGGTCGGAAAAGTATTTTGCGACCAAATCACTAAGTTGGCAACATTGATGCTACTTTTCTGATCTAGTGGCTCTTGCTTCACAGCCATGATTGACATGCAAGAAGCGCACATCAATGGAAACAACGGTTTGAACTACGGAATCAATTAATCAGCCCTTAGTTCCTAGTGCGCAATTTGGGCCTAAGTGGATCACCAATACCTGTGCTTGGGCCAATTTGGCCGCCAGCTGATCAATGCAGCGACGCATTCGCTCTCTTTCCTTTTCGCCCTCGTCCCGCTGCCTCTCCAGCTCTTCGTTTTTCTTCTTCAGATCGCGCATGCCTTCCTCCAGCTTTTCTTTGTGGCTCTTCACTTGCAGGAAGTCATTTGCATATTGGACAGGCTGCAGAGAGAAGCATGCAATGTGACAGAATTCTGGATGAGCGGATGCAGTGAAGGAAAGTGGATTAGTAATGAACCATACAGTATGCTCATGATGAGCTAAAGGGCAGACAATACATAAGTATCGCTGCTCTAATTCATTGGACAGCCCGGTGGTTTATATGAGTGAACCGATAAGAAAAATTAATGCCCATTAGTGTAAGGGGCGCATTACGATGAGAGACTTTGCCTTCCAGCAAAACCAGAAATCCCCACAAAGCCCAAATGGCCTTTTACTGGATGTATAGCACTGTTTCTCTCACAAAAGGTGGCCGTGGTCATGTGGTGGTACATGCTGATAAGGATAATTAATGTCAACAGAGCTAACAGTAGAGGGATCCATTTTGGTTTGGACTTGACAGGCCATTTGGTCATGATCTTAGTCTCATAGAAGACCGGTATTACGTGGTACGAAAACAACATCTAGAAGCAGCAGCAGCAGCAAAGAAGGTAAGATTGGGAAAAGGGTTGGAGTGAGCTGTCTCACCTGGCCATTTTCCCTGCCCACTGAACCCCCTGATACCTCTGTAAGGGAGGTAGGGGGGGTTGGGAGGGCACTACTCACGGAGCTACATACACTTGCATCACCCTGGAACAGACATGCTCATTAGATGGAAAGTAAACAACTACATTAGAACCCACAGCATGCTGCAGGTGTCCACTCAAAATCTTACCAAGCTACGAGGGGGAGTTGCCTGTGTGTGTTGATCTGCTTCCTCCGCTGTCATCTTTTCCCGTTGATCAAATATCTGAAGGAAAAATGAAATTAACTAACGGTGCTTATTTGATGTTATGTTTTTTCCTGTCGCATTCCCTCCATGGTTTGTTGACCATTCTGTGTTTACTCCTAATCAAATAGGGACGAGTTGGTACCGCGGGGAAGTCTGTGGGCGTTTCTTGTGTCTAAGCTACTTGGTCTTATGTTTGGAGGACTCCATCATGGAGTGGAGGAAATCACTCAAAGGAGACGCTTTCCTTGCTGTAGCATCATACCAAGCCTTTCCCAATATTCTTGATTCTCCAATTGAGGACATAAAAACATACAAAACGTAGAGTTCAGATTCATAAAGCATCTCTCAATAAGCTCCGAATAATGTGTATGGTGCAGTATACAGTATATCAATATATTGCGAAATGAATGTGTTTCAAACAATGTCAATAAAATGTAAACATTATTATCTTTGTAAAGGGAAAATATTTGATGCCTGAGGATTTTATTGGATTGATTTGGCGATTAAAAGGTCAAGTTACCGACAATGCCAGATTAACTTTTTATTTATTCCACTCATTCTAGTGTCAACCAAGCAATCAAAGCATCAATATCTGATTTGAAGACCCATCTGCAGTTTTACGGTGCATGCAGGTCCGTGTGTCCATAGATTTGCACAGCTGTTTTCAGATGCTCAACTCAAATTTCTTTCCAGACAATAAAATCAACCACAAGTGTAACAAAGTACTGTCCAGAGAGAGTGAACAAACTAGAAGAGAAAGTCTTTCTTGTTTCTCTCTTATACGATAGAGTGGTGCAGATGCAGCAAAACTGAGGTTATGAAAAAAAGAGACAACCAATAATATAATAATAATGACAAGCACATACTAACTGCCAGGATGAGGGTGTTGTTGTAGCTGTCTCGGTGAAAGTATAGTGTCCATCTCAGTTCGTACTAAACTACTGAATATACCTATTACACGAACACCTGATACCACACATTTAAAGACTGGGGTTATTTTTCCTTCAGAGGGTGCCCCAGTAGCTTGAAACAAGCAAATATCGGAAACACGTAACCATCCTCATCTTTGCAACCGAAATGCTTAAGGTATTGCCTTGCATATATTCCACAGACCAAATGAATTGCGTATTGATGAATTTTTATAAATAAACTAACCTGTGGTGCATCAAGTGGGCCATTCTTTGTTGGAAAAGAGCTTTCAGTCTGGCTGGAGCTACAGCAGTGGTTGGATGAGGAGGCCGGTCCATTCACCAGGCCTTGTAAAGAGTGGTTCTCCAGTGCCAGCCTTTCCACCAGAGCCCTGGCCTCTTGGAAACGACAACTGAGAAATTCCCTATCCTCCCTCGTCTTTCTTTGCCAACCCTCCATCTCTTCACAGCGCTGACGCAAGGCAAGGTTACTACGCCGCAAGGCTTCTGAAAGACAGTGTGATGGGAAAGGGGACAAGTAGTCAAACGGATGCACAAAATGAATTCATTCAGTAGAAGTGATTGATCAAAGCATTAATTCTTAAGAGGTATTTCCGAAATTAAAAGACCTGAGAAATGTAGTTGTTCTACATTGTGCTTTGTGGTACTGTAGAGCTACAGTATAAGGATGCTTTGTTTTCTTTGCCCAAGAAGAGCACCACAAACCAACGCCCTATCACATAGTTGGTGCAATGGTTTTTTTTCGGTATTATAATTAAATTTTGTTAAATCTGTATTGAAAACTTGAATTGCCAAGGTAATACGATCACCTCATTCAATGCATTGGTGCAGACAATTTTTCACCTTTGCATCTGGTAAGGGAGGTGGCATTTTCCTCAAATTCAAGTTTGAAACTATAATTTGTCTGCCAGGTTTTTGAACGTTTAGACAAAGAATTTTTATACAAATGAAGTTTCTCTGTAATCAGCACATTACTGGAACCACAACTTTTATTATTATGTTGAATTGGTTCTATATCCGTCCATCATGTTCACTGTTTTTATTCTTTTCACTTTAATCTTGCTTGCAACTGTCTGTTGTATAAGTATGTGAAACACTAACCTGCTTGAACAATTCAGCACTAAAATAAACAAACATTGATTCTCATAACACACGTGAAATGTCCTCAATGCAACATTTGCGAAGAAACTATCAGTCCAGATGACAACAAATATGGTATTTTTCCATTTTCTAAAGGCCAAGTAAACCTTGTATGCTTTCAGAGGTCCAATTACAACAGACACTAAAAATACAGTGTATCAAAATAACATACTGCAACTATTAAAACAATCTTCTTGAGAGATACAAACTAATGATAGTAGGAATTCTGTTAGAACACAAATAAGATACCAAAGCTTGGTGGGGGTAAAGGTGGACAAGAAGTGGGAAATAAAATCTGCATTTGCTCCCCATCTGCCAGGACAACCTTGTTTGCTAACCATAGAGTTTATTGGAGTACGTACCTCTGAGCTGCTGATTGTCTCCAAGCAACCTGGTGACCACTTCATTGGCTGCCAGCTCAGGTGGGACCCTGAGGGCCCCTCCACTATCCTCTCCTGACATGTCCCACTGCAGTGGGCCATCAGGTTGGGGCTGCACCATTCCTACACGCAGATGTAAACACACAGATTAAAGCATTATGTTGCCCGTACAAACACGTTGTGTTAACGCGACACCTTCGTTTAGTTTGAGTTTAAACCCTCCACCATAACTGAATGGTTGTCGGAACCATAACAGTTACAATGCTACCATCACTACCGTGTCAACATGGATACAAAGAACGTCGTAGGTGACCGCCAAGGAAACATTACGTCATCCCCCAAAACGATGGAGTAAAAAGCGGGAGTTGGCAATATGCCTTGACAGATTATTATCTTACATGGAAAAAGTAGAGCAGATTAAATAAAAGTACACATTTAATTTACTGATATTAATGAATCTTTGGAAAGTCGTGTCATGTAGAGTTCGATGCGTATCACGTTTCCACGCAGTATTGAAACAAAGTATAAACTAAAAAAATTACCTTTAGCATAGGTTTAGTAAGAGACGCTGTGAGATCTTGTGTTACCTTTTATTCTTTTCCAGTGTTATTATGCAGAAAAGCAGGCAGGCAGTCAGTGAGTAGGTCGCGAACAACCCGAAAGAAAGCCAGCAAGGAGCCAGCTCAGGCAGGCTATAGCTACACAGCTAGCGACTTAGCTTAGACAACTAGCTGGGAAATTACTGCTACGGCTTCAGAAGCACTTGTTGACAACTACAGGAGCGGGCATTAACAAAGGGACGACCTCCGGTTAATCATCGGCTCCTCTATTTTCTTGTTCTAATAAAACGTTGTGCGTGGGTTGACGTTAACTGTAAAACACATGACAAGGCCAGTGTTGTTAGCAATGTTCAATGTAAACTCCGAGTTTGGACTGTAAGGCAAAACAATTCGAACGCCACCGCAGCAACCATACAATGTTTTCAATCGCACCATACCACGCTAATTGGGAAATAATACCATTCGAATTTGACAAAAATGCTGCTTTTTATTCGTGTATGTTGTCTAGTAGTAATAACCCCAATATAGGAGGAACACTGTTTTGCTTTTCTAAAGGTTACGAGACATATTTTAGGCCAAAATCTAAATCACTTCAGGAAATCCCCTTCCTCCTTCCGCATTGGTTGATGACGTCACGTGTAAACGGCGACTCTTTCTCGTCTACACTTGTGGTGGAAGAGGGTTTTTCGTTCAAGATGCTCGCCGCCGCCGCAATTAGGGTCCTTTTGGTAGCAGCTTTTATTCATCCAAGCTATGCACTCTATTTCCACATAGGAGAGACGGAGAAAAAATGCTTTATCGAGGAAATTCCAGACGAAACCATGGTTATCGGTAAGCTTTGTAGCTCGGCAAAGCTAGCCTAGCTTTGGAGGCAACCAGCTGGCTTGATCCGAGGCACTGAAAATGTGACTGTAATTGTTGATAAATGTTTCAATAACTCGGTCCTTCATTACTTTCACAGAGGCTTTATTTGGCTTTTAAATCATTCGCGCCGATTTTCCACTTCAGCACTTGGTAGTCCAACATACCAATATTTACTGCATAGGTTATGACTTTACTGCTGCATTCATAGGTTTAGTGGTAAACTACGGCACATTGCTCGGTCCGCCATGGGAATGGATCCCCATCATAAACTGAGGTCCCCCTGTACAGTTAGACATTAATTAAACATGACTCCCAAGCCGGCGGCCCGGTGGTTAGCCTGTCGACCTCACAGTGCAGAGGTAGCGGGTTTGATTCCAGCTCCGGCCTCCTTGTGTGGAGTTTGCATGTTCTCCCCCGTGCCTGCGTGGGTTTTCTCCGGGTACTCCGGTTTCCTCCCACATTCCAAAAACATGCATGGCAGGTTGATTGAACACTCTAAATTGTCCCTGGGTGTGAGTGTGAGCGCGGATGGTTGTTCGTCACTGTGTGTCCTGTGATTGACTGGCAACCGGTTCAGGGTGTCCCCCGCCTACTGCCCGAAGACAGCTGGGATAGGCTCGTCGCACCCTCCGTGACCCTTGTGAGGAAACGGATGGGTGGATGGAGTTAGTTATGACTTTACTGCTGCGTTTAATAGGGTTAGTAGTAAACTACGGCACATTGCTCAATCCGCCATAGGAATGGACCGCCATCATAAACTGAGGTCCGCCTGTCCAGTTAGACATGAATTAAACATGACTCCCAAGCCGGATTTCCATTTTATTGGGAAAACAACACTATGCTGACAGTCATGCATCAGAAAGGTAATTACTTGGGGTGGAACAGTAGATGCATTCATATCTCATGCATCTCTGTACCATATTGAGTTTCTACATGAATCATATTACGTGAGAAACTTCCCTAAAAAGAAAAGATCAGCGCCGAAACAAATTTGTAGCCGCAAAGTCGACATCCCTTTTCAGATGCCAGGTTTTTGTGATAAAAAGTGAGACCAATTTAAATCAGGAAAAAATAAAATAAAAATCTAGCACGACTGTGACCTATAACCTCTATGACTATTGAAAAAATGTCGGGAGCGCAAGGAAAAAAATAGACTGACGTCATGTAGCTGCACAGGTGTGTGAACCCTCTTATAACTCGGGCTCTGACTATGTTTAGAATTAACCAATCGCATTTAAAATTCGGCTAAATGGAATCAAGCACACACCTGCCACCAATTTAAAGTGTCTCTGATAAGCGCCAAATAAAGTTGAGCTCCTCCGGGAAGCTTTTCCTGACAGTTTTGTAATCATATCTTAAAGCACAAGCTGTGGCCCATAGGGACCTTCCACAGCATCAGGGGATATTGTTCAAAGGTGTCAGTCAGGAGAAAGGCAGAAAATAATTTCCAAGGCATGAAATATACAGTGGAACACAGTGAAGACAGTTACCATCAAGTGGAGAAAAATATGGCACAACAGGGAGTAAATAACAACAAACAGCCAAGTGTTTGGAAAAAAAGTCAGAAAAAGCCTACTAGAACATCAAAACTTAATTTGGCATTCATCAGAAGCAGTTTTAAACCCTGGAGAACCCACGGGGTCAAATTTGGCCCCTATAAATTCTACTACTCAAATGCTACCCTTAAATCCCAAAGGGTCAAATTTGGCCCTAATCCTAAATTAAGATTAAAGCATTGAATATTTGAAAAAACATATATTTTGGTGTTCAGTGAACATATAGCAGTCATTTAATGTATAATTCATCATTTTCCAAAGAAGAAAAAGGTTCTTGGGTTCTCCAGGGTTAAATGGCTGCTAGGTGTGTTGATTAATTGCAAACACAGCCCAAACCCCAGTTATAAGAGGGTGTGCATACTTGTGCAACCACATTATCTCAGTGGGTTATCTTGACTTCCATCAATCCATTCATTTTTTGATCCGTTTTATCCTCACAAGGGTTGCGGGGGGGTGCTGGAGCCAATCCCAGCCATCTTCGGGGCAGTAGGTGGGGGACACCCTGAACCGGTTGCCAGCCAATCGCAGGGCACACAGAGACAAACAACCATCCACACTCACACTTACGAACAATTTAAAAGGGGGAGTACCCGGAGAAAACCCACGCAGGCACGGGGATAACTTGCCAACTCCACACAGGAAGGACGGAGCCAGGATCAACCCCACGACCTCTACACTGTGAGGTCAATGCGCTAACCACTGGATCACCGGGCCGCTTATCTTGACTTCATTTTTCGACTTTTTTTTTTTTTTTTTTTTTTGGTTTGTACAAACTGATTAATCACAGAAAAAAGATCCCAGAGTGAGTGTTAGATTCACATAAAATGGAGAAAAAAAATGAGGTCTCGCAGATGTGTAGTACATCAGTGTGAATGTCCTCCTCACGGCTACCCACAGGCCTTAACCCGTGCATTTTTCTAACCACAAGCTTTCCGATGTTGCAGAGAGTGCATCTGGATATTCAGGTCGGAGAGCATACCAATAACTACCCTGAAATTGCAGCCAAGGACAAACTGACCGAATTGCAGTTGCGTGCCAGACAGCTTCTGGATCAGGTGGAACAGATCCAGAAGGAGCAAAATTACCAAAGGGTGAGTGACACTTGAAATGAGCTGCTGCTAGCTTGGCTTATCTTCACTCTCCAATGGCTGAACGATGCGTCTTTGTGCAGTATCGAGAAGAGCGCTTCCGTATGACCAGTGAGAGCACCAACCAACGGGTCCTCTGGTGGTCCATTGCCCAGACGGTCATCCTCATCGTCACCGGCATATGGCAGATGAAGCACCTTAAAAGCTTCTTCGAAGCTAAGAAACTGGTTTAGCCGGATGTGTGAAGAAGAGCAGTGATGGGGAGCAACAGACAAGACTCCTTTGGAGACAGACTTGAATGACTGGAACGAAAACTTGCCGCGCAAGAATTCAGACGGCGACTTTTTTTTCGTTGCATATCGGCCATAAATGATGAAGGAATGTGCAAATTCTAAAAGGCAGTACTCACTATTTTATAACACCACAACATCTGAGTTGCCTTTCTTCGTCTCTCTTTATTTTATTTTTTTATTTGCTTGACACCACTGGGTATCTTTTGGTTCTGCAAAAAAAGCAGGTTTTACTCTTTTTTTAGTGTTGTAAATGTTTTCTTTGGGGTTTTGTAACCAGTAGAAATATTCCAATTTCCCAGCATGTAATTTCCGTTTAGACTTGTGCATACACATTCAACAAATAAATGGCAACCAGCTGGAATGCAAGGAGGCATTAAAAAGTTGTGTAGATATATCCTTCAGTGAAAGACAAATAAGACACACCCACATTCTTAAACAACTACTGGTACATTTTTACTCATTGATGTGCATATCCTTAACAATTTGTCTGACAACACAATTACATTTTTTTTTCAAATGATCGATGTCACAAAGGGTTTCAGATATTATATTTCTGCTTTCTAATTTCTAATGGTGGATTATACTGTGCTGGAAGTCATTTATGTGGTGTTTATGCAACGTTTGTATAAACTCGCTTATATGTTGTCAGCACATTTTAGCTTGTTGGTATCTGGATTTTTGGGGGTGGGTGGGTTTTTGTCCATCTTATTTATTACAGAATGGGAATACCACAAAATGTTAGATTCAATTTATCTTTGCTAGGCCTTTGTTCGTGGGGGAAGACTTGATTAAATCACAAGTGAATGGACTCTTCCATTTGAGGTTTTAATTTTGAGTTACTGTTTACAGATAAGTTTCGTTTTAAAATGTCCAATTCTTGAGATGCACTGCAGTCAGCCATAAGATGGTCCAGCATTGAAGTCATGTGGATGTCATCTCCCGAAGCTTAATAAAGACATTTGGGCTAGAAAAAATAAAAATCATGTTTTTCAACACTACTTCACAAACATAGGCACAAGAAATACAATAGCAATAGAGATATTTCTAAAAGTGAAGTTTATTGCTCTGGTTATGGTTCCCTCAGAGCAAGTTTCTAATCAATGTTCTATACCGCCTTACTTGTTTAAACACAGTATCCGGACTCATTCACTGCCAGCTCATGGTAAAACAAAAGACCTTTTGACTTCTATAGCAGGTCAATGACAAACGATTTCATGTTGCTGGTGTGGAATATGAATCAAGCAGCAAAATCCATCTTTTTTTTTTCCTCCATCTCAGGGGGTGGTTATTTTGTCACTTTTTGTCGACTGAAAATGACATCACATGACCAACATTTGAAAACAAGTGAGCCGTGATTGGTCATTACTTGAGCAAGTGTGATGTCATTTTCAGTCGACGGCAACTGGCCGCCTTCCGAGAGGAAGAAAAACAGGTCGATTTTACAATAAATCTGTATTTATATCGCGCTTGCACAACAGCTGGAACAAAGCGCTTTAAACAACTTTAAAATAAAGAACAAAAATTATACAACAGAACACAACATAAAACATGGGCAATAATTCAATCATAACAACGACTGCTGAATTCATATTCCACAAAGGTATTAATCGGAATGTCATGCTTAGACAAGTGGGCGTGCATAGATCATACGAAGACATTTTTTGACTTGACTTCTCGACCTCAACACTAAATACACAAAATTCATTATAAAGGGACGAGATTTATTAAAATAAGTCAGGGATGTGTCCAAGGACCGGCAACCCGAGGCCAAGGCCAAGGCCAAGGACTTGCCTCCGAGGCCAAGGCCAAGGCCAAGGACTTGGAAAATTTTCCGAGGCAAGGCCAAGGCCAAGGACTTGAAAAATTTTCCGAGGCCAAGGCCAAGGACCAAGGACTTGCCTCCAAGGCCAAGGCCAAGGACCAAGGACTGATTTTGAAATTGAGGCCTAGCCGAGGACATGTATAAAACAATGCTATCATACCACTTGGCAGGTGTTCATGATTTGCAACACCCCTCCATCATAACCCTTTGCACTCCCTAACGCTTGAATGAAGTGATTTTATTCAAAGAGTAGAACAGTCAGGGTACGTGTATCCGTCCATCATGTTCACTGTTTTTATTCTTTTCACTTTAATCTTGCTTGCAACTGTCTGTTGTATAAGTATGTGAAACACTAACCTGCTTGAACAATTCAGCACTAAAATAAACAAACATTGATTCTCATAACACACGTGAAATGTCCTCAATGCAACATTTGCGAAGAAACTATCAGTCCAGATGACAACAAATATGGTATTTTTCCATTTTCTAAAGGCCAAGTAAACCTTGTATGCTTTCAGAGGTCCAATTACAACAGACACTAAAAATACAGTGTATCAAAATAACATACTGCAACTATTAAAACAATCTTCTTGAGAGATACAAACTAATGATAGTAGGAATTCTGTTAGAACACAAATAAGATACCAAAGCTTGGTGGGGGTAAAGGTGGACAAGAAGTGGGAAATAAAATCTGCATTTGCTCCCCATCTGCCAGGACAACCTTGTTTGCTAACCATAGAGTTTATTGGAGTACGTACCTCTGAGCTGCTGATTGTCTCCAAGCAACCTGGTGACCACTTCATTGGCTGCCAGCTCAGGTGGGACCCTGAGGGCCCCTCCACTATCCTCTCCTGACATGTCCCACTGCAGTGGGCCATCAGGTTGGGGCTGCACCATTCCTACACGCAGATGTAAACACACAGATTAAAGCATTATGTTGCCCGTACAAACACGTTGTGTTAACGCGACACCTTCGTTTAGTTTGAGTTTAAACCCTCCACCATAACTGAATGGTTGTCGGAACCATAACAGTTACAATGCTACCATCACTACCGTGCCAACATGGATACAAAGAACGTCGTAGGTGACCGCCAAGGAAACATTACGTCATCCCCCAAAACGATGGAGTAAAAAGCGGGAGTTGGCAATATGCCTTGACAGATTATTATCTTACATGGAAAAAGTAGAGCAGATTAAATAAAAGTACACATTTAATTTACTGATATTAATGAATCTTTGGAAAGTCGTGTCATGTAGAGTTCGATGCGTATCACGTTTCCACGCAGTATTGAAACAAAGTATAAACTAAAAAAATTACCTTTAGCATAGGTTTAGTAAGAGACGCTGTGAGATCTTGTGTTACCTTTTATTCTTTTCCAGTGTTATTATGCAGAAAAGCAGGCAGGCAGTCAGTGAGTAGGTCGCGAACAACCCGAAAGAAAGCCAGCAAGGAGCCAGCTCAGGCAGGCTATAGCTACACAGCTAGCGACTTAGCTTAGACAACTAGCTGGGAAATTACTGCTACGGCTTCAGAAGCACTTGTTGACAACTACAGGAGCGGGCATTAACAAAGGGACGACCTCCGGTTAATCATCGGCTCCTCTATTTTCTTGTTCTAATAAAACGTTGTGCGTGGGTTGACGTTAACTGTAAAACACATGACAAGGCCAGTGTTGTTAGCAATGTTCAATGTAAACTCCGAGTTTGGACTGTAAGGCAAAACAATTCGAACGCCACCGCAGCAACCATACAATGTTTTCAATCGCACCATACCACGCTAATTGGGAAATAATACCATTCGAATTTGACAAAAATGCTGCTTTTTATTCGTGTATGTTGTCTAGTAGTAATAACCCCAATATAGGAGGAACACTGTTTTGCTTTTCTAAAGGTTACGAGACATATTTTAGGCCAAAATCTAAATCACTTCAGGAAATCCCCTTCCTCCTTCCGCATTGGTTGATGACGTCACGTGTAAACGGCGACTCTTTCTCGTCTACACTTGTGGTGGAAGAGGGGTTTTTGTTCAAGATGCTCGCCGCCGCCGCAATTAGGGTCCTTTTGGTAGCAGCTTTTATTCATCCAAGCTATGCACTCTATTTCCACATAGGAGAGACGGAGAAAAAATGCTTTATCGAGGAAATTCCAGACGAAACCATGGTTATCGGTAAGCTTTGTAGCTCGGCAAAGCTAGCCTAGCTTTGGAGGCAACCAGCTGGCTTGATCCGAGGCACTGAAAATGTGACTGTAATTGTTGATAAATGTTTCAATAACTCGGTCCTTCATTACTTTCACAAAGGCTTTATTTGGCTTTTAAATCATTCGCGCCGATTTTCCACTTCAGCACTTGGTAGTCCAACGAGTTTCACAAGGCAGATACCGTAACTGTGTCTGACGACCGGTTTCGTGACATTGAGTTTGACACGTGGATTATTCACCTGCACTCTATCTATCTATCTATCTATCTATCTATCTATCTATCTATCTATCTATCTATCTATCTATCTATCTATCTATCTATCTATCTATCTATCTATCTATCTATCTATCTATCTATCTATCTATCTATCTATCTATCTATCTATCTATCTATCTATCTATCTATCTATCTATCTATCTATCTATCTATCTATCTATCTATCGTTACTGACTGTAGACATATGTGTATGTCAACAAGTCAGCATCATTAATAATGATTGTTGAAATTGGGCGTGTTTCTTGGCATAAGCAACTCTATTTAACAAAGCCTGCAGTTTTATTCAATGAATTGGAAATGTGCTGTATTTGCACCTCCCGCTCCTTTGCAGCTCGTCCAGACACATACAGGGGTTACAGAAGTCGGTACTGTACACAGTTCTAAGAGTTATACCGTGTTCTTTATTTTTTACATCCTTCATTGAATTTATTTTTTGATATATGGTATTTACCATTTGTAAGTATGAGGATCAGTTAAATGGCCATCATAGGGTTGCCACCTTTCAGATCTGGAAATAAGGAACACTGCTCAAGGTGTCGCGGCGAAATAAATTTGAGGGTTTTTTCTCCCCCAAACCCTGAAATACAAAGAATCACGTGTAACAAAACAAAATCTTTTGATTTAATTTACATTTTGTAACATGTCATATTAGTCTCTGAGCCCTGGGGTCGCTTGGTTGTCAGTAAGGAAGAAGTCAAGAAAGCAGTTAGACATACTTAAAGTTGAAAGTGCTTTATTAGCAATGGACATTGTTGTTGTTGTTGTTTTTTTTTTTTTTTAATAGACTGAAGTAGCTTGAACCTGAGCATAACCTATACGCTATTAAAAAGTGTCGTAAATTAAACAAAGATTTCTACTTTAACACTTTTACCAATTATGAAACACGTAATAGTCTGAACTCGAGCATGTGGACCTGGCCTACTGTATTGTATACATATAAAGTGCAGTGAATTAAAAAAAGCTCCTGCGTACCTCCCACCAATGCCACATTGCTGTCTTGAATATTTCCTGTCTTTTATTTTGTTAATGATAAATTCAGTCTCCAGACTCTGTTCCATATTTTAATACGGTAATCATATTATGACCTAACAAGGCGTGCCTTTCACATTACAGGAAAGTACAGAACCCAGCTTTGGGACAAACAGACTAATTCGTACCTCCCGTCCACACCGGGTCTTGGGATGCATGTTGAGATCAAGGATCCTGACACAAAGGTATGAAAAGAACACGAAATAGGAGAAGGGCTAAAAAAAAAAAAAAAACAGCTACAATAAATTCTGAGGCATCTCTAAAATCCAAACAAACTTTGAATATTAAGTTGACCAAAAAATTCTAATTGGAAATATTATGCAGAGTGAATGAATTTGTTCCAGGTAGAATTTCAAAATAATCACCACTCGCCATCATAAAACCCTGATAAACCATACAGGACCTATTTTAAGTGCCTTTTTAACATTTCCAACTTCTGTAAAAGAGAACCAAATCGAATCAGAATAGCTTTATTGTCTTTGGTTTTAATTTGTGTGACCATATGCGTGTGTCAGCATGAATCTGAAACTAAAACAATATAAAACCACTCATCTTTTGATGATGGATGACAGAGCCATACCTGAAAAGGGAGCAGGAAGGCGTGGCATCTGAACAAGCCATTTGAAAAGGAAAATATCCTTCAAATATGTGGAAAAACACTCACTACACTCACTATGGCAAGTACTGATGGGACGAGCAGATAGTCGCAAGAATCGTTTCGATAATGATGGTGAATGTGTTCAGGCCTTCCACTGTATAGGAAAAATGTAAATGATGTTGTCTGAACCCTCGCAGGTCATCCTGTCTCGTCAGTATGGTTCCGATGGTCGGTTCACCTTCACATCTCATACTCCAGGAGAGCACAAGATATGTCTGCACTCCAACTCCACCAAAATGGCACTGTTTGCTGGCGGGAAACTGGTAGGACTCAGCTACTAGTACTTAGATACTTGCCCGTCAGACCTCGAGTTTGCTTCCATTGATTGAAAACAGTTGAAGGGTTTGGAAACCTAGTCTGTTTTTCCTCTGGTTTGGTTTCTTAGCACACCATTAAAAAAAAAAAAAATCAGGCGAATCCAAATGTGCCCTGTGCCCCAGAGATCAAGAATTACAGCAACTTGAATGTCTTTATTTGAGGGAGGGTGGTCCTGTCTTCCACAAAAGGGGACAAAGGTCACCCCACTGCACTCGGAAGTGTGTCAAAAGCAGATACAGCTTTGTCTTACCATAATGACCAGTCTGCAGCACCTGCACTTATGTTTTTGATGTTATGCGCCACCGCAGCAACCATACAATGTTTTCAATCGCACCATACCACGCTAATTGGGAAATAATACCATTCGAATTTGACAAAAATGCTGCTTTTTATTCGTGTATGTTGTCTAGTAGTAATAACCCCAATATAGGAGGAACACTGTTTTGCTTTTCTAAAGGTTACGAGACATATTTTAGGCCAAAATCTAAATCACTTCAGGAAATCCCCTTCCTCCTTCCGCATTGGTTGATGACGTCACGTGTAAACGGCGACTCTTTCTCGTCTACACTTGTGGTGGAAGAGGGTTTTTCGTTCAAGATGCTCGCCGCCGCCGCAATTAGGGTCCTTTTGGTAGCAGCTTTTATTCATCCAAGCTATGCACTCTATTTCCACATAGGAGAGACGGAGAAAAAATGCTTTATCGAGGAAATTCCAGACGAAACCATGGTTATCGGTAAGCTTTGTAGCTCGGCAAAGCTAGCCTAGCTTTGGAGGCAACCAGCTGGCTTGATCCGAGGCACTGAAAATGTGACTGTAATTGTTGATAAATGTTTCAATAACTCGGTCCTTCATTACTTTCACAAAGGCTTTATTTGGCTTTTAAATCATTCGCGCCGATTTTCCACTTCAGCACTTGGTAGTCCAACGAGTTTCACAAGGCAGATACCGTAACTGTGTCTGACGACCGGTTTCGTGACATTGAGTTTGACACGTGGATTATTCACCTGCACTCTATCTATCTATCTATCTATCTATCTATCTATCTATCTATCTATCTATCTATCGTTACTGACTGTAGACATATGTGTATGTCAACAAGTCAGCATCATTAATAATGATTGTTGAAATTGGGCGTGTTTCTTGGCATAAGCAACTCTATTTAACAAAGCCTGCAGTTTTATTCAATGAATTGGAAATGTGCTGTATTTGCACCTCCCGCTCCTTTGCAGCTCGTCCAGACACATACAGGGGTTACAGAAGTCGGTACTGTACACAGTTCTAAGAGTTATACCGTGTTCTTTATTTTTTACATCCTTCATTGAATTTATTTTTTGATATATGGTATTTACCATTTGTAAGTATGAGGATCAGTTAAATGGCCATCATAGGGTTGCCACCTTTCAGATCTGGAAATAAGGAACACTGCTCAAGGTGTCGCGGCGAAATAAATTTGAGGGTTTTTTCTCCCCCAAACCCTGAAATACAAAGAATCACGTGTAACAAAACAAAATCTTTTGATTTAATTTACATTTTGTAACATGTCATATTAGTCTCTGAGCCCTGGGGTCGCTTGGTTGTCAGTAAGGAAGAAGTCAAGAAAGCAGTTAGACATACTTAAAGTTGAAAGTGCTTTATTAGCAATGGACATTGTTGTTGTTGTTGTTTTTTTTTTTTTTTAATAGACTGAAGTAGCTTGAACCTGAGCATAACCTATACGCTATTAAAAAGTGTCGTAAATTAAACAAAGATTTCTACTTTAACACTTTTACCAATTATGAAACACGTAATAGTCTGAACTCGAGCATGTGGACCTGGCCTACTGTATTGTATACATATAAAGTGCAGTGAATTAAAAAAAGCTCCTGCGTACCTCCCACCAATGCCACATTGCTGTCTTGAATATTTCCTGTCTTTTATTTTGTTAATGATAAATTCAGTCTCCAGACTCTGTTCCATATTTTAATACGGTAATCATATTATGACCTAACAAGGCGTGCCTTTCACATTACAGGAAAGTACAGAACCCAGCTTTGGGACAAACAGACTAATTCGTACCTCCCGTCCACACCGGGTCTTGGGATGCATGTTGAGATCAAGGATCCTGACACAAAGGTATGAAAAGAACACGAAATAGGAGAAGGGCTAAAAAAAAAAAAAAAACAGCTACAATAAATTCTGAGGCATCTCTAAAATCCAAACAAACTTTGAATATTAAGTTGACCAAAAAATTCTAATTGGAAATATTATGCAGAGTGAATGAATTTGTTCCAGGTAGAATTTCAAAATAATCACCACTCGCCATCATAAAACCCTGATAAACCATACAGGACCTATTTTAAGTGCCTTTTTAACATTTCCAACTTCTGTAAAAGAGAACCAAATCGAATCAGAATAGCTTTATTGTCTTTGGTTTTAATTTGTGTGACCATATGCGTGTGTCAGCATGAATCTGAAACTAAAACAATATAAAACCACTCATCTTTTGATGATGGATGACAGAGCCATACCTGAAAAGGGAGCAGGAAGGCGTGGCATCTGAACAAGCCATTTGAAAAGGAAAATATCCTTCAAATATGTGGAAAAACACTCACTACACTCACTATGGCAAGTACTGATGGGACGAGCAGATAGTCGCAAGAATCGTTTCGATAATGATGGTGAATGTGTTCAGGCCTTCCACTGTATAGGAAAAATGTAAATGATGTTGTCTGAACCCTCGCAGGTCATCCTGTCTCGTCAGTATGGTTCCGATGGTCGGTTCACCTTCACATCTCATACTCCAGGAGAGCACAAGATATGTCTGCACTCCAACTCCACCAAAATGGCACTGTTTGCTGGCGGGAAACTGGTAGGACTCAGCTACTAGTACTTAGATACTTGCCCGTCAGACCTCGAGTTTGCTTCCATTGATTGAAAACAGTTGAAGGGTTTGGAAACCTAGTCTGTTTTTCCTCTGGTTTGGTTTCTTAGCACACCATTAAAAAAAAAAAAAATCAGGCGAATCCAAATGTGCCCTGTGCCCCAGAGATCAAGAATTACAGCAACTTGAATGTCTTTATTTGAGGGAGGGTGGTCCTGTCTTCCACAAAAGGGGACAAAGGTCACCCCACTGCACTCGGAAGTGTGTCAAAAGCAGATACAGCTTTGTCTTACCATAATGACCAGTCTGCAGCACCTGCACTTATGTTTTTGATGTTATGCTGAAGGTGTTTGCCATTGTTTTTTTTTTTTTTTTTGGTTTGTACAAACTGATTAATCACAGAAAAAAGATCCCAGAGTGAGTGTTAGATTCACATAAAATGGAGAAAAAAAATGAGGTCTCGCAGATGTGTAGTACATCAGTGTGAATGTCCTCCTCACGGCTACCCACAGGCCTTAACCCGTGCATTTTTCTAACCACAAGCTTTCCGATGTTGCAGAGAGTGCATCTGGATATTCAGGTCGGAGAGCATACCAATAACTACCCTGAAATTGCAGCCAAGGACAAACTGACCGAATTGCAGTTGCGTGCCAGACAGCTTCTGGATCAGGTGGAACAGATCCAGAAGGAGCAAAATTACCAAAGGGTGAGTGACACTTGAAATGAGCTGCTGCTAGCTTGGCTTATCTTCACTCTCCAATGGCTGAACGATGCGTCTTTGTGCAGTATCGAGAAGAGCGCTTCCGTATGACCAGTGAGAGCACCAACCAACGGGTCCTCTGGTGGTCCATTGCCCAGACGGTCATCCTCATCGTCACCGGCATATGGCAGATGAAGCACCTTAAAAGCTTCTTCGAAGCTAAGAAACTGGTTTAGCCGGATGTGTGAAGAAGAGCAGTGATGGGGAGCAACAGACAAGACTCCTTTGGAGACAGACTTGAATGACTGGAACGAAAACTTGCCGCGCAAGAATTCAGACGGCGACTTTTTTTTCGTTGCATATCGGCCATAAATGATGAAGGAATGTGCAAATTCTAAAAGGCAGTACTCACTATTTTATAACACCACAACATCTGAGTTGCCTTTCTTCGTCTCTCTTTATTTTATTTTTTTATTTGCTTGACACCACTGGGTATCTTTTGGTTCTGCAAAAAAAGCAGGTTTTACTCTTTTTTTAGTGTTGTAAATGTTTTCTTTGGGGTTTTGTAACCAGTAGAAATATTCCAATTTCCCAGCATGTAATTTCCGTTTAGACTTGTGCATACACATTCAACAAATAAATGGCAACCAGCTGGAATGCAAGGAGGCATTAAAAAGTTGTGTAGATATATCCTTCAGTGAAAGACAAATAAGACACACCCACATTCTTAAACAACTACTGGTACATTTTTACTCATTGATGTGCATATCCTTAACAATTTGTCTGACAACACAATTACATTTTTTTTTCAAATGATCGATGTCACAAAGGGTTTCAGATATTATATTTCTGCTTTCTAATTTCTAATGGTGGATTATACTGTGCTGGAAGTCATTTATGTGGTGTTTATGCAACGTTTGTATAAACTCGCTTATATGTTGTCAGCACATTTTAGCTTGTTGGTATCTGGATTTTTGGGGGTGGGTGGGTTTTTGTCCATCTTATTTATTACAGAATGGGAATACCACAAAATGTTAGATTCAATTTATCTTTGCTAGGCCTTTGTTCGTGGGGGAAGACTTGATTAAATCACAAGTGAATGGACTCTTCCATTTGAGGTTTTAATTTTGAGTTACTGTTTACAGATAAGTTTCGTTTTAAAATGTCCAATTCTTGAGATGCACTGCAGTCAGCCATAAGATGGTCCAGCATTGAAGTCATGTGGATGTCATCTCCCGAAGCTTAATAAAGACATTTGGGCTAGAAAAAATAAAAATCATGTTTTTCAACACTACTTCACAAACATAGGCACAAGAAATACAATAGCAATAGAGATATTTCTAAAAGTGAAGTTTATTGCTCTGGTTATGGTTCCCTCAGAGCAAGTTTCTAATCAATGTTCTATACCGCCTTACTTGTTTAAACACAGTATCCGGACTCATTCACTGCCAGCTCATGGTAAAACAAAAGACCTTTTGACTTCTATAGCAGGTCAATGACAAACGATTTCATGTTGCTGGTGTGGAATATGAATCAAGCAGCAAAATCCATCTTTTTTTTTTCCTCCATCTCAGGGGGTGGTTATTTTGTCACTTTTTGTCGACTGAAAATGACATCACATGACCAACATTTGAAAACAAGTGAGCCGTGATTGGTCATTACTTGAGCAAGTGTGATGTCATTTTCAGTCGACGGCAACTGGCCGCCTTCCGAGAGGAAGAAAAACAGGTCGATTTTACAATAAATCTGTATTTATATCGCGCTTGCACAACAGCTGGAACAAAGCGCTTTAAACAACTTTAAAATAAAGAACAAAAATTATACAACAGAACACAACATAAAACATGGGCAATAATTCAATCATAACAACGACTGCTGAATTCATATTCCACAAAGGTATTAATCGGAATGTCATGCTTAGACAAGTGGGCGTGCATAGATCATACGAAGACATTTTTTGACTTGACTTCTCGACCTCAACACTAAATACACAAAATTCATTATAAAGGGACGAGATTTATTAAAATAAGTCAGGGATGTGTCCAAGGACCGGCAACCCGAGGCCAAGGCCAAGGCCAAGGACTTGCCTCCGAGGCCAAGGCCAAGGCCAAGGACTTGGAAAATTTTCCGAGGCAAGGCCAAGGCCAAGGACTTGAAAAATTTTCCGAGGCCAAGGCCAAGGACCAAGGACTTGCCTCCAAGGCCAAGGCCAAGG